TACTATACATGTATACTGCAATTGAACAATCCAGCAAAGGGAGGGCAGGTGCTGAGAGCCGGCTTCTCACGTCGAAGTGAGAAGTTACAGATGAGCAGGAAAGGAGGCTAGAATAATCCGTGTTATGATGCATTAGAGTTGGAGACAGCAGCATGACACTTAGCTTAATAGAAGTACAGGTATGTTTCTGTGCACAGGATAGTATACACACGTATACCTCCTTGCTCTGTCAGCTGAGAAGACCTAAAAGTAAGGTATCCCCAGTAGCAATGCACACATCCAGCACCTAGATGGTGGTTTCTAATACCATTCTCCAATGAAAGATACCAGCGTTCTTTGGAGAAACGACTCATTCCAAGACGGGCACAGGAAATATACAAAATGAGCCTATAGCTTCTTATAGTGCTAGAGCTAAGAAGGTGCTCAAAAGCATGTGAGCACACCACAATGATGGGGTTACGTCAAAGAGATACAAGAGCCAACTTAAAGGGCTCTCAATGCAAAAGCCGGAAAAGTTTGAGCAATAAAATAAAGTGGTAATAGACTATCACCCAAAGTATAACCTAAATATCCACGAATCTATCCTGCTGAGAATGGCTGAATAAACACATAAGTGGCAAAGAAGAGACGAATCTTCGGTAGAGGAGAATTCCAATGTGTTTATTTAGATACTCTGCCCTTACGGAAGTGGAGTTTAACTCTGCTCCTTAAGCTGCGCATGGTGACTTCCTTCCAAAGGGTACGGTATGGAAAGAGAGGAAAAAAGAGTAACTTCACAGTGCAGAAACCTGACAACCACTAGCTCCAGCCAGATGATCAAGGTTAACATCAACAGCGGTAATAAGTCATAATGAATAGGATGACTCGATATGATGAGAATGGAACTTTATCTCTGTGGCACTCCTCCGCAAAACACATAACTCTGGCCTACTCATGACAAAAGTATAAGTCATACTCAAACTGAGGACACTGTGCAAAATACAAGACACGTAATTCTCAAAACGGTCAAGGACATCAAAAACAAAGAGAGTGTAAGAAATCGTCACAGACCAAGAAAGACTGAGGAGGCATGACAGCTGGTTGTAACATGGCTTCCTGCTTAGTTCCTGGGACAACGACAACAAAAAATGACAGTAGAGACAAACAGAAAATTTGAATAGAAGGAGAACTTCACAATGATAATGTAACAACACTGGTTCATTAATTGTGACTAAGGAACTGTATTAATGTGAAGTGTTAATTACAAGGGAAATTGGATATAGGGCATATAAGAACTCTCCATACCTTGATAATAATTCTGGAAATCTAAAAATAAAAGATGTATTTTTAAAATGCAATGGAAATGCTTTCCTCTCAAAAACTCTCTGCAAAATATGCTGACTGCTGAAGTCTCGAAGCAGGTCTTTCTAAAGCACTGGTCCTTCCACCGGTTGGCTGGAGCAAAAGTCAATTGTAAAAGATACCTTCTCTTATGCTCACTTGTCTGACTTCTTAGGGGCCATGCGGAGCCCCCAGTCCACCTAATGAAGTTCCCTTCAAATTAAGAGACAAGACACGGAAGGGAAAGAAATGTAGAAATGACAATTTCTGTTTCCAAGCTCTCTGCTCTATTCCAGAGAATCTTAACACTTTCTTAGACTGAATATTGATCCTTTGACATTCAACACAGATGTCCTCTCATGAACTGCCTTCAGATAACACATGAAGGAAAAAAGAGGGGCAAAAGCTGTCTTCTCCAATCCAATTCAGCTTTGTTAGTTACCTGTCTCACTTGTTTTATCAACAGTGACAAACAGTGTGAAGCTGCACTGTGTCGGATGGAACTTCTGGTCACTGAATCACTTAGCTGTTACTAACTTTAAAGGAGGTGTTTGGCCAGGCACAGTGGCTCACGCCTGTAATCCCAGCACTTTGGGAGGCCAAGGGGGGTGGATCACCTGAGATCAGGAGTTCGAGACCAGCCTGGCCAACATGATGAAACTCTGTCCCTGCTAAAAATAATTAGCCAGGCATGGTGGCAGGTGCATATAATCCCAGCTACTCCAAATGCTGAGGCATGAGAAGTGTTGGAACCTGGGAGGCGAAGGTTGCAGTGAGCCGAGATCACGCCACTACACTCCAGCTTGGGTGACAGAGCAAGACCCTGCTCAAAAAAAAAAAAAAATCACTTTAAACATTCTTGTGCATGTCTGTGTATATAAATGTCCTGAAATGTTAAGAGTGGACTTTCTNAAAAAAAAAAAAAAAAAAAATCAGTGTAATAATCATGTATACCTCATAGTGTGTGGGACAGGAAAAAAAAATGCTCAAGCAAGTTAACTTAAAAAAAGGTGTCTTTCAGGGGAAACATACTTTTCCCACTATGTGGTATATTGCATGGTAAAGAATGGCAGGCACTGGCTTAAAACATAGATATAAGGTTACAAAATAATTTCCCAAGATAAGTTCTTAAAAGGGAGTCACATGGACATCAAAAATCACGTTTTGCATGATATCTCCTTTTGTTTCATTGCCATTTTTGGACTGTAAGAATACAGGCACCTTTGGTCTAATGCAATATCTATCTATCCATCCATCCATCCATCCATCCGCCCATCCGCACATGCATATCTGCAAGTTACCATTTATTTATCAGGCCTCTGATGACTCAGCTGGTGGCAGACATCTACACAAGTGATGGAGAACCAAGGGCTCTTAGTGCAAAGGTGAGAGTGGAAATGAGATTGAGGGATGACAGTGGTCTGTGGACACACGGAGGGTAAGACAATATAAATGCGAAATTGAAAATACTAGTAATCAATTGTGGTTGTCAATAACGGAGAGCAAGAGTGAGTTCAAATATTATAGCACAACGACAAACAAACAAAAATCACTGCTATTATGCAAAGTGAGGAGGATTAAAGTAAAATAAACTCAAGGTAATAGAAAATAAAAATAATGCGTGGAATTTTACAATAAAGGAAGAGAAACAAGGGAAACATGAAGGAAAGTGACCTGGGAGGAATTTGTCTGATGGAATTTGGGGGCTGAAGTTAAGCAGCCTCTTCAGCCTCTCTTGAGCACAGGTGCCTTGGTTTTTCCTGAAATTCCTATATGGAGCAATGTGCTGTGCAAATATATTAATCACACCTATGATTAGTCATTTGCGTGACAGGAAAGGTCTGGAGCCACTGAGCCTGAAGACAGGAGGTGTCTCTAAACCTAAGAACTCCCACAGTAGGGATAAGATTTTACAGTTAAATGAATTATTAAGGTCAGGTGAATAACTTCTTTTTATTACTCAGTGGTTCTCGATTTCATGGCCACTACCAGGGAAGGAGGCAAGTTTTGAGTACTCTGCTTGACTTTTCTCTAAGGAGGGGGAAAAACTCCACCACTCTAAATACTAAAAATAACTTAAACCACACCATTTCCTTTGGAAAGACAACATGTTTATGAACTGTGACCATTCTCTCCAAGGAATCAGAATCCTGCTTTCCCCCTTCTTCCTAAGTCCCCACGTTTCCTCTGTTCACTAGATCATTCTGAAAGGAACATACAATTACCTTTCCTCGACCACAGCTGCTTTTGGTCCTAAAGTAAAACTCACAATATACTCCCAGCATTCTCGTTCTTCCTAACTTCATGCCTGAAGAAGGAAATGTCTGTATGGAGGCAGTTTAGAATATAGAGGAACTTACACAACAAAATATGACTTGTTCTTCAAAGCAGTCACCTTGGGGTCTCCAGACACGTATCCAAAGACACAGTCACTATTCACAACAATCTTTGGAAGTCTGCTTTGGATATTGCTTTTATGAAAAAATCAGCCTCAACTTTATGGCTGAAAAATACTATTTCCTAGCTTCATCATTAATGGGACAGCCAAATCCCTTTGGTTTGAAAAAGTGCATTCTCTACGGGCAAAGATTTGCCACAGTGAAGAGACTCAAAAGAATGTATGGCCGGGCGCAGTGGCTCAAGCCTGTAATGCCAGCACTTTGGGAGGCCCAGGCGGGTGGATCATGAGGTCAAGAGATCGAGACCATCCTGGTCAACATGGTGAAACCCCGTCTCTACTAAAAATACAAAACATTAGCTGGGCATGGTGGCGCGTGCCTGTAATCCCAGCTACTCAGGAGGCTGAGGCAGGAGAATTGCCTGAACCCGGGAGGCGGAGGTTGCGGTGAGCCGAGATCGCGCCATTGTACTCCAGCCTGGGTAACAAGAGCGAAACTCCGTCTCAAAAAAAAAAAAAAAAGTATGATAGCTTAAGACAATTAAACATGGAGGATTCTGAACTTGTGCAAGTGACTCACTGGAATGTGTGAGCACCCTCCTAGTGTTTACTGGGGAGAGAATTCCAGCCACCTGGGAAAAAAGCTGAGATATGAGTGTTAATGAAAAAGAAACCCCAGACCTAATCCCATCACTTTATAATTTCATATAGAAAATGTAGTTATATGCATCTCTAACTCTCACTCTGTTTTAAATTCAGTTACCTAAAAATGTGATTTTTCCCCCAACATTCATGGAAAAAGAATTTTGTTCAGAAATCTTCATTTTGAGGCCGGGCGTGGTGGCTCAAGCCTGTAATCCCAGCACTTTGGGAGGCCGAGGCGGGTGGATCACGAGGTCAAGAGATCGAGACCATCCTGGTCAACATGGTGAAACCCCGTCTCTACTAAAAATACAAAAAATCAGCTGGGCATGGTGGCGCGTGCCTGTAATCCCAGCGACTCAGGAGGCTGAGGCAGGAGAATTGCCTGAACCCGGGAGGCGGAGGTTGCGGTGAGCCGAGATCGCGCCATTGTACTCCAGCCTGGGTAACAAGAGCGAAACTCCGTCTCAAAAAAAAAAAAAAAAAAAAAAAGGAAATCTTCATTTTGTTATTTTAACTTGAAAGCTCTAATAATATTATGTAATAACAATGTTATAAAATTATATTAATTGAAGAGAGAAATAAATTGACCTCACCTAAAACATTTTCTCTCAAGTACCGAAAAAATCCACTTAAGACATATAACCAAATGTTATTTAATATCTTAAAAAGTAACACAATCCAAAATGGATATTTCACACAACACTACATAAACAACATGAACACAATATCACCATATGGAGGGACTTTCAAATATAGACTTACAAAAATCCCTGTCCTTTTTTTCTTTTAAGTTATTATACTAAGCATGACAAGTAATCATCATTTACAGTATGGTACACTGACACGATAAAAACCATGTTACAAATGTGCTGTTATAAATCAGTAACATTAGGGAAGACATTTCATGAACTGTAATTATTTCATATGAAATACTATACAATATAAACAGAACATCCATCTTGGATGACCTTTACAGCAACCAGAGACCAAGTAATTTAAAATTTTTTTTTCAGTGCAAACGCATTTTATTCAAGGCAGTCTTGGCTGCAAAACTCCTTTCTAACATACAGTAAAACCCACTTGCACTTTCTTAATTCATTTACCCTAATGCAATAGTCACATTCAGCCACTCAGAGAAAGATACCTGCAGAATTATGATTCCTTTAAACTTGACGTTTAAATTTAATTCTCTTCTAGAACATGGTATCTGTGTCAACTGCTCTAAGGACTTTAATTTGTAGCTGTTGATGATACTTCCATGAAGGTGACCCTAGGGCAGCTCTATTCCTAACCCAGCAAGTGTGCAAGATACTGCACAGTGTTCTGCCCTTCCAATGTGGAAACCGTGGCGGTATGTCAGTATCTAGGTGGGAGAACGGAAAGGAGTACCTCGGAGGAAAGGAAGCGGAGGAGCTGCTGCGTGTGTACTTCATGATTAATTTCCCGGAACCACAGAGGACAGATATTAGAGATCTCAGGTCTCACATTTGGTACCTCTTCTTGGTGGGAGCAAGGGAACCGTTTTACTAAGGTCAGCCTTGGAACAAGGAGGCAGGCAACTGTACATGGATCAGCCAAGCTTCTAACCTTACATTTCCAACCTTCCAGAATCATCGTTGCCTGACTTGAAATACCCCATTCCCTCCTTGGCATGGTGTGTGTGTGTGTGTGTGTGTGTGTGTGTGTGTGTCTGTTCACATTTGAAGCCAACAATTAACAATTAAAGCCCTATAACTGATCATGTACAATCATAAGAAGCAAGTTTAGGTCCCCCTTGAGTCTGGTATTCTGAATCTTGCGAATCATCAACCGTAAGTCATAGAACAACGGTAAAAACACAGGACTGTGTGTTGGGGGAGCCATCACTGGGAATCTCTTTGTGGGCCACTGCTGCAAAAGATGCAGAGTATTAACTCAATAGGAAGGTGCCAATGTCTGTCTGAAACACACAAGGAAATTTAATAATGAATGTTTTCATAGACGTAATTTATGAAACATTTCCCGAATAAAAATCTGTGGGAAACTATTGGATGTATTCTTAATACCACAGACCTTCTGGGAGAGGAAGGGGGTGATGGCTGATTCTTTTATCTTACTTGGCAAAGCTCAGACGGACATAATCTCTTTCCTGCCCACATTTTACTAACCCAAAGCAAAACAATGTTTTCCATGGCTTTTGCATTCATGTTTCCTGTGTTCTAGCTCCCCCAAGCCCTAAACATGTGCAGAAAAGTCACTCACTACCAGAAGAGCCCTGGATGACATTGACAATGGGCAGGATGGTCCTGGGGGCTAGGGGGAAAGGAGAGGTCGCTCCTGCTTGGGCCCACCGAGGTTGATAGCACACGCTAGTTGGTTCTGCGACTGGCCTGTGGTGATGGAGCAGATCCCCGTCAAATATCATCTACCTCCTAATTCAAGAAAATACTTAGAACTGGATCAGCTCCCTCAGAAATCCAGCTCCTCCAAAGCAGGACTCGATATATTGTACTGAATTTCTAGGGTGCTAAGGAGCACTGTGATGAGTACTTGATAAAGTTTTTAATTAAAATTTCTGTGTCAGCACCTTCCGCTGCCAGGAGCAGTCATGTTCCTGAAAGATGGTATTTTAGCACGGGAACTATAGAAACCCAATACGAAACTGTAAACAAGGCTGGATGTCCAGATCTGCTCCTGACTGTGATGGCATTGGGTGGACCTGTCAATCTCCCGCTTCATCCATCGATACCAGTAAGGTGTGCTGAGGTGTAAAATGCCAAACACCCTGAACTTTTTTTTTTTTAATGAAAATGGACGAAAGTGTCAAGTTGTATTTGTTTTCTTTGACTTTATTTGCACACATCAGAAAAATAGCATTGTATTTAGTGATTTCTCATGATGGTCTATCAAACAGATAGAAAATAGATCATCAATAGCTGCCACTGTGTTTCTGGGTAGTCTTAAGTGACTCCTTTTGTTTGTTCAAGTATGCGTATTACGAAGATGACCTGTCTTGTTAATTGTTTGCGAATCTGAATGCTTTGGAAGCATTCTGAGATCCCAAAGTGAATCGTGCAAAGTCATTATCGATTGTTGTTGGTTTTTAAATCAAGCTCCAAATACTGCCCATGTTATAAACGGTGAGACTTTCAAAAAACGATCACTATCATATTGTGAGCAATATGTTTGTAATTTAAGTTAAAAACTTTATTTTCAAGTACACTTGGTGGTGATAAGTGCTTTGTCCTGGGTAGAATTTTGCAAAGCTGCGCCAACCTAAAAAAGGAACAATGCTTCTGCTTCCACTGAACAGGTTTCTTCTCCCCATGGTGACTGCAATATAATTTAAATTTACATTTTAGAAATGCTGGTTAGGTTATGAAAAAGAGGGACCTGGGAACAGCTGCTGTTCAGATCATTGTTACTCTAGATTAACTTTGAATTGCCGCTTCCTGAACTTGACCTTCACGACGTCAGAGAAGCAGTAATTTGTTATTTTTATCTAGCTAGTCTCCATTCACCTCTTCTATTTGTTTTCTCTATTTGATGGCATCCCCGCTTTCATATGCTCATTATGGCCCCCTGAGATGTGCAAAATGTATATAATGGAATACAAATCATTTAACAGAAGTTGTGGCATTCACAGCACAGCTCTTTTAATTACAGTGGAGTTTGGGCTCCACATGGTAGCATGCGGGTGAAGGCAGAGCCCACAGTGCTTCAAGGTTGGCAGTCCACATTGCTTGTGTGTCTTCTGTTACCGAAAACTGAGACTTCAAACCAGATTTCCAAAGAAGTAAATAGCTCGCTCAATTACGTTCACCCATTGGCTCTTCGCCAGAGAACTTTTAACAGGAATGGGTGGGGGGTGGGGGTGGGCACAAGAATTTTTAAACTTCGGTTCATTCCTAACAAAATCGAGTGCGCTTTCGTGGGGAAGAGAGGAGAAGACAGGATTACCTCTGAAAGCCAAACAATGGCGTAAGAGAAAGCCATGGCGATGGAGAAGTCATGAGTCCACAGAGGCAATCACCGACACACACAGAATGCCATGGCCTAATGTTGAAGGAAGGGTTCAACTTTGCTCTTCGGAATGATACACTTTAACACACGGCTGCCATTTCATCAAATTTATGGAGGTAGTTATATGTAAAAATAAAAATTACCATAAAGTAATATGTCGTATCATAATAATACGTAAGTGTGCAAAATGCCGACAGATGTGTTGGCCCTTTCACAGAGATTCAACGAGATTGTTCTGTAAACCTTTCAGTGGCTAAACCCTAAGACTGGACAAGCAGTCGTGTAACACAAAGCTATGGTTTCACTGGAGGAAAAGCGTACGGGCAACGCCGGGCGAGGACCCCACCGTCCGGACTGAGAGCCTCACTGGGACCTCGGATGGCATGTGGAATGTGACGCCGGCTGCCACTCTTCCCCCATTCAAGAGTCTCGATCAGATTCAGACAAGAATACTTTTATATGCAACATCTGCTTACATGGTATCATCTTTCAAGTCCATCATTTCTACTACACAAACGGCTGCTGGTCTAAGGGAGTTTTTAAAAAGCCATGTACCCCATAGCATCAGGCAAACAGTGTACATATTTATTTGAATAATGTCTTCTGTAAACCTATATCTCGTGAAATATCAATAAATTCCTATTTTAAAGCTTCTCTTAAAGGTAATGTTTCCTTTCCTGTTCACACAGCATTCGATTATTTCAATGGCTACTTTCAGAGGATCAACTAGAGGCTGATGTATTGTTTCAATGGTTCTATTATTTACGAACTAATAGTAGAAGAAAAATTTGAGAGCAGGTTTTTGGAAAAAATGAATTTAGACAAAGATTTAGTAACTGTATGATATATAACTCCCCAAGGGAACAGACGATGTAGTCTATTAGACACACGATCATTCCTTCTGGACATAGTTAAGCCAGGAGACAAACAATGCATCAAGGCATGCCTTGGAGGAAATACGGCGTGAGACTGAAAGCCAAGAGGCTTAAGCATGTCAATGGTATGGGAGTTTACTACGAAACATGCTGAAGTTTCACTGCAATAAGCACAAAAAAGGAATTTATACCAAACTCAGGGAGTCCAGTTTGACCCAATGCAACTTCCAAATAACTGAAAAACTGTGAGGGAGTATTCAGAGGTTTCAAGAATAAGTCCAACTGTGTATAGGACTGGATTATTTAAACAGATTGCTGGTGATTAAACCTAATACAAAAATGATGTGTCTCACAAATCATATGCCAATTACTGAAATCGGAGGTGAAAATATTCTGGATTTGGGGATATATATATATATATGTATTTTATGGTGTATAGCCCCCAACAGCACATGCCACTAAACAAAATAAAACTTTATGTCAGACACTTTCTTGTGTCATATGTAACCCTTTTGCAAATAATATTCCATTACTGCAGATCCGTTCCACTGTTCTCAGAAAATAAAACATGGGAACGTTGGAATGTCTCTTTGCTATAAGATCAAATTATTGGCAATCCCTTTGCTGCTGGGTCTTCTTTGTGTGTAACATGACATCGTAAACCAAAGCAAAATGTTAACGAATCATTTTGAAATAAGTTGGGCTAATTAACTACACATCCACCTAAAATTGCCTCCTGAAATTGGTTACAAAGTATCTGTAAACATTACTCTGGCATAGTTCACGTATGCATAATTGTTTTTCTGATAAATTTTAGGGGAGTACAAATTAGGATTATACCACACTAGCAGAATGAGCACATTCTGTTGTTCATTACATGGGCACATGTAGATTTCTAATCAAAAATTATTTTAAAAGTTTTCTCTATAGATATCTTCCCAGGAATAAAAGGCCTGAAGTTCAACTCTCCCTAAATTTGCTCTTTCCTATAACCACTAAAAATTATCTCCCACAGCCTAATTTAGGCATTCTATTTAAAACTACATAAAATAGATTTATGTCCTTCCATTAGAAAGAATAACATCCTCAGGCCATACTTTTCATTTGTATCACAAAGAACATTTTGCTTTTAAACAAACTAATTATTGTACCTATTAGAGTAAGATAGGGTCATCCTAAGTATCACAAGGAGGAAATTCTCTTCCTTCAATATTTGAGTAATACCTTTTACAAGTCCACGCCACCTCTCCCAACACCTAGTGCTGTGCCCCCGCCAGACTGGAAATTCCTTTCCTTTGTCCACTTCAGATTCAGAGGCCTATATTCCTGTTTGTGATCATGGAAGGTTAAAAATCAGACAAGCATCTGTTACACTTGAAAACAAAATCCTGAAAAGAGACACTCCCAGCGATTTCCATTGCGACCCCTTCTCACACACTTCCATGGGCTCCTGCAAAATAGTGTCACAAAAACTCACAGTGAAAAATGACTGGTGCATAAACGATTCACACACAAAGGGCTGGGGTCCCTTCTAGTCAGTTTGGCATCTATTTCCCTCAAGGTGGACCCTTGCATTTGACATTTCATGGTGGCTTCGTTTTTTTTTTTTTGGAAGTGTCAAGGATCAGTTCTGCGGCACCGTTTAACCACAGACTGGGAGCAACACGCATCTGTGGCATTTTAAAATGGAATTGGCAAATGCATGACATTGAAAATGCATATTACACTTACAGTGTCTAGACTTTCCTATGTGTGCTCAGATACAATTAGTGAAGCAAAAGTATACATATCACCCCTACTGTTACTCAGTTGCTACAGAGCCATAAATGTGAAAAGCAATACTCTGAAATAAAGATTTTTTGTTTTTTCTTTGCCCTAGCCCTACTTAGCAGCACAGTTTAAGTAAACACAAAAACTGTGTGGTTGAGATGCTTGTCTTTCCAAAGATGTAAACATCAGTCCCAGTGTCGTAAACTTTGCTGTATCGAACGAGACAGAAGATCTGAGGCAGAAGGACTATCACACACTAGTAACAGAAGCTTGCAAGCAGTTAGAAGGTTTCTGTAGTTTCTCAGCTTCATTTGTCGGGGGGTCCGTGCTTGCTCGGAAGTTGAAGGCTGGACCAGCTCCACCGTGGGCCGGGCTCAACGCGGGGTTCTGACGACGGTTACTTTCAACAATGCTTGACGTGTTGGAAGCCAGGCTCTCCCGAGTACTAAAAGAGTAAAAAGGGTTTGTTTTGTTTTGTTTGGAACATAAATAATTATAAGTTGAGCCCCAGAGGAAGAGCAAATGATGTCGTTAATGGATTTCCTCTGTTGGTTCATAATGTCATATCAATATACATCTCCACTGATTATTCACATCTGCTTCTCCACCATGGGCTCCAGAAGCTTCCACAGACATGTAATAATCAGCAGCACATTCAGTGAATAAAGGGTTTTTAAACAACTAAATGCACTTTGAAATGTCTTCTTCTTTTCACACTTGAGGAGCAACTTCAAAATTTGAGGTGATAGCTAGCTATCACAGTAGTTTTTAAAATGGATACTCATAAATACACCTAAGTCATTATTTCATTTCAGGCTGGAAATTCATTGGCATAACCACTCCACAATACACTCGGTAATTTTACTCCAATGATTCCATTTTCATTATGGATTAGCAGATTTCAACTTTGGGGGGGACTCTGGGTATGCCCCTTTTGGGAGACCCTGAGCATTTGCCACACAGATAGGAATAAAATTCATTTTAAATGTTTTATTCCACTGTTTCCAATTTTAACACTTTAGTTAAAATACATTATATTTTCGATAAAGGACCTTACATTTTCTTCTCCATTCATCTTTTAAGTTTACATTCATTTCTATCCCACTTTGGCAGGATTGTTTTTGTTTTAGGGTTTCTTTATGGGGGGGTGGGGACAAGGTCTTGCTCTGTCCCCCAGGCTGGAGCGCAGTGGTGTGATCTCAGCTCACTGCAACCTCTGCCTCCCAGGCTCCAGGGATCCTCCTACTTCAGTCTCCCGAGCAGCTGGGACCAGAGATGTGTGCCACCACACCTGGCTAATTTTTGTGTTTTTAGTAGGGACCGGGTTTCGCCATGTTGCCCAGGCTGGTCTCGAACTCCTGAGCGTAAGCAATCCGCCTGCCATGGTCTCCCAAAATGTTGGGATTATAGGTGAAATATTTTCTTTTTAAAATAATTCTTGTAGGACAGAGGTGATTGCTTTCTCTTTTCCTTTTTCTAAGTTAGAAACATTTGAATCTATTTCATTGCTTTAAGAGATTTAGACTATGTAAGGTTTCAAATGCATAGGGCAATGGCAGAAATAAGATGACTGGGCCAGATTGAGAAGAACCGAGTAGGTTTCCTGCTGCAGGGCCTCAACGTGGCTATAGAAATGTATCAACTACAGAGACTGAGCAAGCCAGAAGCATTCTCAAAACATCCACTCCATGAGGCAGAGTCAACGCTTAGGGAATATTCTCTGAGAGTTGGTCCCCACAACTGACTTAAGCCAGTTTACAGCCAGTTAGCAGGTCAAACTTCTACAATGGAGATGTCCTCTCCTCTCCTGCATTTCCATCCCAAGCTGACAGCAACTCTGTCTGAATCCTCTACTCTGCTAGCCCTTTCCAACAGGTTATTTAAGCCTAACTCCCTGTGGCTTGGAGATTGCTTCTCACCAAGAAGCCAAGGCAGTTTGTCCACTGACAACCAAATAAAAAACCCTGGGACTTTCCTGAATGCAGAGGGTACCTCCAGAAAGGTCACTCATTTACAGAGAGAAATCAAGTTTTACATTATGCTTATGGCAAATCTGGGCGTTCCCAAAGGACACTCCAAAAAGTCATCGCTGAAAGGGAAAGTGTGACTTACCTACATGACATCTCTGCCAGGAAAATTCACAAGTGGTTTGCCAGAGCTACCACTGAGGCACGGGGCAGGTGCAGGAGGGAGGAGGGGCAGGGGATTTCAAGGCACATTCCTTCAGTGTCTTTCTTAATCACTTGGGTAACTTTTTAAGTATCTGACTTCCTCAACTCTAAAATATGGAGAGTTATGATGGGATTTACCTACTCATAGGGTGACTCTGAAGAAGAAATAACCATCAAGGAAGAATTTGTGCACTAATAAAGTAGAAACGTGAATTATTTCTGTTATACATCTAGCATGTTATGAAATAAGGTGACTATGGGTTGGCTTCAGAATCCATGCATTACAAATGACATATTTTCTAGGGGAAAATACATTTAAAGTCCAAATGATTCACTCTTAAACCAGCCTTCAAGGAGTGGGCTCAACATCTGTTGAGTGCCTGCTGTATGCCAGGCACCGGAAACACATATGCAACAGATCATCGAGCTGGGGTCTGTCTCTACTGCAGGAGACCTTCACCCACCTCCAATCACAGCCACCTTCAATCACAGTATTAATCGTGGTAAATATGTACAATACTCCATCTTCTCCAAAGAATGTATTTCATTATTGTTGTAATCATGATTACAGTCTGGGACATTCATACTGAGGGCTCCGGATGTGCTGATGAACAAGTTAAAGGAGATGGAATGTTAGCAGTAAAAATATTCCTCAAATTTAAAAGTTTTTTTTTTTAAGGGAGCTAATGGAGTACAACCTTAAAAATAGGATTTCAGGATTTTCTAGGCAGGAGAAATGAACCAAGCAACTCTGTTGTTCACCCTTGGTGCGCAGGTGCCCCCGACCCCAGGCCTCTCCTGCACACGTTCACGCAATACGTTACACAGATACACCCCGGGCAGCCTTTGGCCTCTGATTTTCATATTGTCTTTATCAACCAGCTTCAGGCCTCACGTTTGGAATAGCAGGCTTTTCATGTCAAGACTTTCCATTTTCAATATTAGATCTCATAGCATAGCTCAAGTTTCTACCCTTTTTCCTTCTAAATACCTTTTTATTCCCAAAAAAAGAGACTAAAGAATTTTGGAAATGCGGCTGAACATGACTTTTGAGCCAGCATTGAAACTCTGGAGTGTGGAGAAAAATCACCTTTTGGGGTCTTTTTTTTTTTTTCTTTTTGGTTGGGGCTTAGTGCTCAGTGAATTATTTACTGAAAGATTCTAATAAACGGCTTGCTTCCTCTATTTTCATGTCAGGGCTCGGCATGGTGGCTCATGCCTATAATTCTAGCACTTTGGGAGGCCAAGGCAGAAGGATCTACAAAAAACTTTTTTTTTTAATTACCAGGCATGGTGTCACATGCCTGTAGTCCCAGCTACTCAGAGGGCTGAAGTGGGAGAACTGCTTGAACCCAGGAGTTTCAGGCTATAGTGAGCCACAATCACCACTGCACTCCAGCCTGGGCAACAGAGTAAGACCCTGTCTCTTAAAAAAAAAAAAAAAAAAAGATTTCCATGTCTCACAGCAACGGGTATGAGCATGATAATGCTATCTGGCTAAAATACTCCTCAGGCTGGAGAGTAAAGTCTCTAGAAGTCAAATACTTACCTCTGCAGAACATACTCCTGGATCAGCAAGATAACTCAGTGACTTTATTAAGGTGTGTAGAAAATAGTTTGTCACCTCGCTTCTAATCGAAGGACGGTAAATACAAAAGGGGTAAAATTAGCAATTGTTCTGTAGATTCTCTAACTGCATAAAATGTATGGGCGATACATGTTTTCACGTAGAGAAAATTTGACCTGATATTAGTGGGCAGACGTGTGGCTATTGAGTGAAGGCTGTCTCTTTAGAACAACCTTTACCTTCGGCCATGACAAAGTATTTGACTTTAAGCACACAATGAAACAACTGAAGACCAACTTACTTCAAGAAACAACCCAGTCATAAATTCTATATTCTGTACCCTAAATTTCGAGATAGTAAAATACATTCTGTAGAGATACTGATTCAACCATTTCAGGAATATTTCTGTTTCTCTTCAAACAAACAAACAAGAAACTGTCGATGTTATGCAGTTGAAGGTTTTCTAGTTAGAACTCACTGAACTACTCCCAATGTCTCCTTAGGAACTCTCCTTAGCATGGCAGCTTCCTGTCTGTGGAAGCCCAGGGGCCCAGAGGGAAAGGAGAAAGGTTTAAAACGAGCATGTGAAAGGCAGGTAGGAGGCAGAGGCTACATAATGAGAAACAGCAGGACAGAAAGACACAGCCAAATACACCACAGCTTCCACCAGCGATGGTTCTGAATTTCCACCACAGATGACAGACCTTCTGTTTTGCTAATCTGGTAACCACTGCTAAAAACTCAAGAGGAAAAAAAGAGTAGAACAGGAAAATGAAGAATAAAAGGATTATTAGAATAAATTATAAAATAAATTAATATCTGATTTGGAATTTAAAAAATTATTAAGCAAAAATGATTTCTTAGAAAAGCCACTCACTAGACTAGCGGTTTTCAGGCTGAGGCCCAGGACTCCCTGAGGTCTCATAGGCTCCTGGAGGGATGCGGAGAGGGACTGGAACCCACAGTCTCCACTGTCACCAGGACCACCTCTCAGCTCTGGGCAAACATTAGGCTTCCACACACGTGTTAACTTGGAAGAAAGGCTCCATGATCAAAATAATAATAATAGCAATAATAATGAACCAGCCCTTTAATAAATCACAAAGCCCTAATATGGGACAGACCAACTAAGGATTCCCAGTTCCAGGTATGTGATGCTCACTTCCAAAATTATCCAGAGATATAGTGAAATGATCACAACAGAATTAATTTTAATTCCTAATACTGAAAATTAATATATGAAATGCATAATCCTATCTGAATAGGTGTTAAAATTATAAGTATTGTAAAATCTTGGGAATCGCAGCTGATGAGAAATGTCAATCTCTCAGGTGTATTTCTGCATCTCAGAGTCACCAATCTGGAGTAGAATGTAGAAGGAGAATTAGGTCCCATGTTGCTCTCTGAGGAGAAGAAAGAGTTAAGGAGAACAGAGGAAGTTGCACAGACTCTCGTTTGCCTTCTGAATCCCTGAGCAGCTCTAGAGCTTTGGCCGTGACCGCTGGGCACCACTAACTCAACTGTCAACGCTTTGCTGAACTACGAACACCTACTAACAAGAAGGAACTATCGTTAGACTAGCCAAATGGGTGCCGTCGATTCTGCAGGAGGAGAAAGTAAAGTCCTGGCACATGCTTTCATCTCACAGGGCACAGGCCCCTGCCCTGGCTGTGAGGGAAGAAAGATTCCATTTCTCTGCAGTGAAAGGAAGGTGTGTGAGCCAGGGGAGCAGGCTGCACAGAACCCTGGGATCCAAATACGAGCTTCTAGATCCACTGGAGAGGTTTTGAGATCCATCCTTACACTTTCACTAGAGGGACCCCCACCCTAGCATCAATCAATCTCCTTCCAACCCCTAGCTTCCTCCCCCAGCCCCAGACTATTCTTTCTACTCAAGAAGTTACTACTTTTGAAGGACTTAAAAAACACCCTTCCCTTAGCGTGGTGGCAATATGAACACAGCAGAAAAAACACTGGAAATGTTGGTTTTAGTTAGATCGAACTGATGCAAGTTTGAGGGGAGGAGCCAACCCACCAGTCCAGATTGGTGATCTCTACAGGTGCAGAAACTTTTTTTTCAATTCCTGAAAAAGAAGTCAGAAACAGATTGTTAACAATACAACTCATACAACTCTTAATCCTCATCCACAGAACTGAGACTATGAAATCAGAAGCTTGTCAAGTTATGTGCATAAAGCCCCAGGCCCCGATAGGTGTATGTGTGTGCAAAGAGACACCTCTCCCTACCGTGGGGAGTTGAATCCACTGTCCACTGTGATGCTGCTGCTGTCCATGCTGTCGAGCCGGGCTGAATGGGTGGCTCTCTGGCTGCTGCTGCTGTCGGTCTCTTTTGGGGCAAGAAGGGTGAGGTTCTTTTCAAATTTCCTCTGCAAGTCTCTTTCCTTCTCCCTCTCCAGGAGCCACTGCATGGTGCCCACGTCCTCTCTATTTTTCTCCTCCTCTGTGTTCTTGTTTGCCCCTTCCTCAGAGTCATCATCATCAGAGACGTTGTAATAGTCGAAAGAGGCTTCCTGGTTCCCTCCTGACTCCTGCTGACGTTGGGAAGCCGGCATGGCTTGTGCCACTGAGGTCCCCAGGGACGGTTCCAGTTTCTCGCATCGGCCTGGCAGTGTGTCAGCAGGTGTCTTCGGGTGAGATTTGAGGAGGGACAGGCTCGATTTGTGATAGCTGTTTACAGACAAGGTGCTGTGAAGAGGTTTGAACAGTGTGTCTTTGCTAAATATCTCTTTCCTCTTGTCCAAGCTGCTGGGCTCGGCACCATGGTGCTGGACAAGGCGTCCATTGGCGATCCCCTCAGCCGCTCCTCCTGAGGCAGCTGGGCCACCACCCGGCCCTTTGGGTGACTCCTCCTTGTGCCCTACAGGCTCCCTGGAGGAGTGGGGGACCTGCCTATCAGATGGGGAGAGCTTTTTCACCCCTTCTGCCAAAGTCAGAGTGTCATGGTCCTCCTTATTCTTTCCCAGAGGTGATGGTGCCGTAAGCACCGTCTCACTGGAGGTGTTGCACTGGAAATAGTCATCTGTGGAGGTTTTCGCTGGACAAGAGTTGAGTTCGCCATAGGATGGCAAACTCTCAGGTGCTTTGCCTGGCTCCAAAAGGCTACACGCGCTGGACGGTTCCTTGCTGCCACCAACTATTTCTGGAATACACACCTCTTTATAGCTTGTGGACGAAATGTGAGCCCTTTGGTGACCAACAGTCTGTGCAGGCCTTAAAGTACTGTCGTCGATGTAGGATTGGCTGGGGGTCTGGTCATCTTGGCTACAGCCTTCAGCAAGGTCTTCAGGCGTCCCTAGAGAAGAAGCACCCAGAGGGCCTTTGGAGTTGTCCATCGATCTGGATCTCTCCTTGGCTTTGTTGGATCTCTCATTCCTGGACCTCCGGTCCTGGGTATGGCTGTGGCTTCGGTGCACTTTTGAGTGGGAGCTTCCCCTAGAAGGTTCGGGAAAAGGCATCTCAGTTCTCCTTTTGGCCAGTTCACCAGACACATCCCATTCTGGTGTCATGGGGAAGTGGGACTCGATCACGTTTGTGTTGCTGTGCATGATGAAGTTATCTCCTGTGTGCTCCATGATGAAACAGCCCTCCCTGGGCACCCTGGTCAGAGGATCACAAAAGTCATACTCTCTTTCACCGGGGATATCCAGATGTGAGCCGTCGGAGGGGTCTCCTTTGGACACGCGTGTCTTGCTGTGAGACCGAGACTTTCCATGGGACTTTCGATGAGTCCTACTCTTTTTACTCCTTCCGCTGTGATGGGCAGAGGACCCAGCTTTACTCCTCTGGGCCTTTTCTTCTTCAAGCTTCTTCATGAGCGCAGTGTGCCGCATGACGTTTTCCACGGTCAGGTCTGGGTTGATGCGCCTGATGATCTCCATTTCCACCTCCCGAGGGATCGTGGCTGGCGTGTCCTCGTCTCGCAGGGGCCACTCTTCCGGAGGAAACTGGGCAGAAAAATTGGCCAGCTGTTTGGTCTTGTCTTTTTTAAAACTTAGCCGGAATAACTTCAGCCCGAATTTTTTTGACTGCTTTTCACTATCTTTAGGTTTTGAGAGAGTTTCCGTCTTGTAGGAAAAATTTACAGTACTTTTGCTCTTTTCAGTGGGTGGCACCTGGCACAGAGAAGGGGGGCAGTAAGGGTCTTTGCAGTCCTTGGCAGGCTTCCTCTGCAGGGTGGACGCATGCATGCTGTGCATGTCTTCTCTGCAGCAGTGGCAAGAGTCGCAGTGGTTTCGGGGCAATGTTCTTTCCCTGACGCAGCCTGAGGCAGAGGGCGTGATGGTTCCGGGCTGCGGAGAGGTGCACTGGGACCGGTCAGGTATCCTCTCGTCCAGATGGTACCATTTACTGTTAGTTCTTATGAGGGAGGGAGTTATGAAGTAAGTCTGTGGGGTCACGATAAAGTAGCCATCTGGAGTTGGGTAGATTTTCCTCTCCCGAACCAGCGTGTTCAGCGTGTGCCGCAGAATTTCTTGGCTTGGGGTTGGAACACCTGAAAAAAAAATCCACTTGTGAGAATGAAGAGAGAACATGTCAATTCCTGACTTCCAGAAGCCTATTCATTCTGCCAAGATGCGAAGTCCCATCGCATGGGTAGGATGCACAATTCAGACAAAGGCGTTCATTAAGTTCGGTGCAAATCCTGGTTTGCTTGGGTAAGTCCTAAATTACTACCCACGGAATAAGCAGACATAAAAGCAGATATAAAAGACAGAGATGGAAGTAGGTGAAGTCAGATTGCTACTATTGTCATAAAGCCTTTCCCGAACTAAACAGGAAAGACAGAACATTGAAATGAGAGAACAATGAAAAATGTTTTCCATGATATGATACAAATGTACAGAAAAGGCTTTGCAGTAAAAGCAGCTGGGTGAAAATATCTGCCATGATATTAAAAACACATCTAAAATATACAGCGGCCACCACAGAAGGGTTACTGTATGTGCTCATTTTCACAGATTTTACTTAATAAACTTAATTTTGTAAATTACACAAAGGACTACGAGACTTGACTACTGTCTAGGATGAACCCTCTAATTCTGGAGTCACTGCCTTCCATTTTGAAACCAACTAGAGTACAGATAACATCCAAGTGACAATGTCCTTTTTGGCGTCAGTCAGCAAGACGAAGGTGGTTTTTCTAATTTCTAACCAAGGAACCCTAATAAATATACAAGTGAAGGCTCTGACACTCTATCTCTGTTTGTCCAAAAGTCCCATATTGGCTAGAATAGAAACACCAGATAAAAATGATGAACGCTTCTTTGTAAGAATGATCCATGTTTTCAAAGGGTTTTCGTGCATGTTTATGAGAATTAAGAGTACAAATTCTTAAAGAGAGTTTAACTTCTCCAGGCTCCAGCCCATTTACTGTATTTCTTGGGTATTCTCCATTTCTCAGTGCCAGGCACATAAAAGACGATCACACTTGTAAGACGGATCTGAATGATATCATTGGGAATTCGGTCAGGTTGAATCATATGAAAGTGCCAATATTCAACCACTCGACTCACAGACATGGCAGTTGCATGCAGTTCAACCTAACACGAATAAGGCAGTGTAATGTGGAGGCTAAGAGGCTGGGGCCAGGCTGCTGGATTGAAACCCTGCCCTGTCATCGTTAGCTGGTGTCACTGGTTGAATTACCCACTCCCCACCCCAATTTGTATGTTGAAATCCTAACCCCTAGTACCCCTCTTAAATATGACCTTAAGTGGAGAAGGGGTCTTTAGGGTGACATGAGGTCTTGAGGGCGGTCTCTAATCTAATATGACTGTCCTTCTGAAAAGGGGAATGCTGGAGACAGAAAGGCACAGAGGGAAGACAATGTGAGGAGACACAGAGAAGGTGCCATCGTAAGCCGAGGACGGGGGCCTCACAGCTCTCAGAAGCACAACCAATCCTGCCGACACCTTGATTCTGGACTTCTGGCCTCCAGAACTGCAGGATACAGTTGGTTGTTTGAGCCACCTGCACTGTGTTACAGCCGTCCCCAGCAAACGAAGATAGCTGGCACTACCTGAGGCCACCGCGCCTCTCTGAGTCCCTGTTTACTGTCGTCAAAAGGTAGGTAACAACAGTACCTGTAGTCACAGGGCTGAGGTGAAAGTTTAGTGAGTGTGGAGCAGTGCCTGGCACACAGAAAGTGCTCAGTAAATAGTAGCTGGGAGTTAGCCTCCACTCTGGGTCGGGACCCAGAAAACCAGATTGCCTTCAAAGAACAATGTGCCACAACCTAGAACACCTGGGTGAGCTGAGACGTTTCAACTCCCCAAGTCCTTCCAAAGTAGGAAATAAAGGTATTAGAAATGGCCTATGGCACTTTGGGAGGCCTGGGGAAGGCTGATTTCAAGGTCAAGAGTTTGAGACCAGCCTGACCAGCATGGTGAAACCCATTTCTACTAAAAATACAAAAACTTAGCTGGGCATGGTGGCATGTGCCTATAATCCCAGCTACTCGGGAGGCTGAGGCAGGAGAATCGCTTGAACCAGGGACGTGGAGGTTGCAGTAGCCAAGATCATGCCACTGCACTCCAGCCTGGCGACAGAGTGAGACTCCATCTCAAAAAGAAAGAAAGAAAGAAAGAAAGAGATGAATAGATATATAGAGAGAGACAGAGAGAAAGAGAGAAAGAGAAAGAAAGAAGGAAAAAAGAGAGGGGGGGGGGGGGAAGGGAGGGAGGGAGGGAGGGAGGGAGGGAGGGAGGGAGGGAGCCTGGAATTTTCAAGGGGGAAAAATCCATGAATGTAAGGTAACATACACACTCATTTGCGTTACCATTTTCAGAAGGCATCCTTAGTGATCAAAGCAGAAAAGGTAGCATAATTCATAATGTATTGTTTATAATTATTTAATTTTCGAGTCTCATAGTTTCTTTTTAGTCTAATGTTTTACTTCTGGTAAGAGAACATTAGCTTTTATACAAATGATTTTAAGACCAATAATAATGAAATTTGTTTTTTAATCTTATAATACTTTCTGTATAAAATAGAAATGAATATCTTTTTTTTTTTTTTTTTTTGAGACAGGGTCTCACTCTTGCACAGTCTGGCGTGCAGTGACAAGATCTCAGCTCACTGCAACCTTGATTTCCCAGGCTCAGGTGATCCTCCCACCTCAGCCTCTCAAGTAGCTGGGACTACAGGCATGCACCACCAAGACTGGCTAATTTTTAGATTTTTTATAGAGACAGGATTTCTCCATGTTGCCCAGACTGATCTCTAACTCTTGGGCTCAAGCGATCTTCCTGCCTCTCCCGCCCAAAGCACCTTCCATGAATAACTTCAGGGGGCACCGTTCACACGGAACCCCCCTTCTGAGATGAGGACACACCTCTGCACTGCAGTCTCATGACTGATGCCTGCTGTTGTGTGGCACAGCCACCAAGATAGCAAGCCCGTGTTTAAAACCGACCACATTTTAGTCAACGATGTGACAAACTTTTTCAAAGACTCGTGAAGGTTCATTTGTAAGTATTCATGATTGACCGGTTTACCATGGCTCCTGATAAGGGGAAGCTGAAGTATACTTCATGAAAATGGCTATTACTATAAAGCAAAAATATAATTTTAGTATAGAATTTGCTAAGTGTAGGCCTTCCAAATGGTGATCTTAGGAAACTCGGAAAGCTATTAATATTTAAAATCATGACCACAATGCAATCATCTTTACATTAAAAACAAGTTCTCCAGTGGTTCTCAGATGAAGGAATAAAAAGGAAAAAATAGAGAAAAAAGTTCTCGATTTCCATAGAGAATTTGTGCTTAAATTTTCTTATGTCTTGGGTTTCCAGGTATATCAGTCACATAACGTTTAATTTGATATTGCAAACTAGAAACATTCTTTGCCCCGTCCCATCCATTTTCAATGTTATCTGAGAGTTTTCAGACTTAAATGAATGCTGCTTATGTTTATGATTATCATTTTATTAAGCCCTAGTATATTGACTGATTGTCTATGAAGTTCAGGTTCTACCAGAAATCTGTGGGTTGACCTGATAAAGCGATGGTTGTGACGGATGTTTAATGTTTGTAAATTCCTCTGCTCCCAAATTCAACTCTTGAAGTTCATCATGAATTCAGATTTTGAGGCTTAAAGAACAAAAATAAACTTGACATCCTAACAGGGCTGAACCTGACCTCTTCCACACCCTTACATTTTTCAAAGCAAAAATAACTATTTAAAAGTACTGCATGACAATGTGATCTACTTAGACCTATGTATTGCTTTGTTTTTTTGACACAGCATCTCACTCTGTCATCCAAGCTGGAGTGTAGTGGCGCAATCTCAACTCACTGCAACCTCTGCCTCCCAAGTTCAAGCAATTCTCATACCTCAGCCACCCGAGTAGCTGGGATTACAAGTGCATGCCACCACGCCCAGCTAATTTTTGTACTTTTTAGTAGAGATGGGGTTTTGCCACGTTGGCCATGCTGGTCTTGAACTCCTGGCCTCAAGTGATCTGCCCACCTCAGTCTTCCAAAGTGCTGAGATTACAGGTGTGAGCCACCACAATTAGCCTCGATGTATTGCTTTAGTCCTGTAAATCTGACAAACTGTCAGAACAGAGAGCACATGGACCTGTTCAAAGCACTTTAGGCGGAAACCTTTTAATGACCATCTTTAGATTACGCTTGTTTGTGAAGAATACTGGCTGAAGAAGAATTCAGTAAGAGCCGACATAAGGAGGTAAATGGGAGACATAACGCAGTGTGTGTAGTATTAACATTCTCCAGCAATCTCTGAAGTCAAGTTCAGCTACACGCCTAGCCTTACAGGTCCAGCTCTATGCCCCTGAAGGTCAGCCTTCCTCCCAGAAAGATTCAGTTGCACTAGCTTAACAGGTACCAGACCAATTTAAATGATTACTCAGTCTGGATGAATGGGCGTGTAGTTATTTAGAAATATGAGAAGCAAGTATTATTCTTTATAAACCTTTTAAAAATATTCTTGATTCTGTAATGGAAACTGACAGATAATTGTTGTTGAGTTGGTTTTCAAAAATTCAGCCAACTTGTTTTTTTCACTTTTACAGAAAAGTGATAAAAAGGTTTAAGTTTTGATGTATCAGAAATTTTTACTAGAAGATTTTTCACTAAAAACCTTCTTTAGAATATGGAGGCCCAAAACAAGAAAAGAAGTTAAATTCTAGATGATACTGACCTATGAATTAAAGGAGAACTCAAATGTTTTAATAATACTTAGGCTCAAAAACTTTATTTTTGAATAGTAAGATGTAAAGTAACTAGCTAGGCGCAGTGGCTCACGCCTGTAATTCCAGCACTTTGGGAGACCGAGGCGAGCAAATCACCTGAGGTCAGGAGTTGGAGACCAGCCTGGCCAACATGGTAAAACCCCACCTCTACTAAAAATACAAAAATTAGTCAGGCATGGTAGTATGCACCTGTAATCCCAGCTACTCAAGAGGCTGAGGCAGGAGAATCACTTGAACCTGGGAGGCGGAGGTTGTAGTGAGTTGAGATCATGCCAGTGTACTCCAGCCTGGGCACTAGAGCAAGACTCTGTCTCAAAAAAAAAAAGCAAAAAACAAAAAATAAAAATAAAATAAAATAGCTAAATACTTTCTTCTTAACTTAAAAAAATATATATATACGATCTTTAAATCCCTCCAGAGTCTTAGAATTGTCATTAAAAATATGATTTTCAAATAGAATTTAAAAGTTTAGGTTTTCTAAAATATTTTCTTCTGCTATAGCTTACATAATAGCAAAAGACAGACAGAAACCAAAGGAAGAAAGGAAAGGAAAAGAGAGAGGGAGCTAAGAAGAAAGGAAAGACAGCAGGCAGGAAGGAAACAAACTCGTCTTTAATGAAATACCTGTTTAAAATCTGGAGCTATTGCTGAACATAACTTTAAATAGTTACCACCATGCCCTTGCCCAGGGGTCAGCAGACATTTTCTGCAAAGATCCAGACAGTAAATATTTTAGGGTTTTTAGCCATACAACCTCCATTGAGACTACTCAACTCTGCCACTATCGCATAAAGAGCCAAAGATCATCCATGAGCAAATGGGCACGGCTGTGTTCCAATAAAACTTTATTTAACAAAAACAGGTGGTGGGCCACACTAGGCCTGCAGGTTAGCAAACTCCTGCGCTAGACTTGGGTTTGTATGGTGTCCTTGCAAACTTCTGAGGCTGAAACCAAGGAGTCATCAGTGTCACACAGAAGAAAAAGCTCCTCAATCTGAAAACCAGGGCCTTGGGATTTAACTTCCCTTCCCATAAAAGCTAGCAAAACAGTTCTTCTTCTAAGTACAAATGACCTATGGATTACTCCACATAATATTCCAACTTAGTGATATTGTTATCAGCTGCTTGGCAGTGAGGTACATTTTACTATTATACACTGGCTCTATGTTCTTTCTGTTCTTTATTTTATAGCCCAGTAATGGGAGGTATGTAACCAATTTCGGAAAAGCCATGTGATTTCTCATGAAGCCTTATAAAAATATAAGGATTTAAAAAGCTGCTGGGTTGCCTGATGTCAGAAGTGGCTATGCACTCATAGGGCAGAAAGCAAGGCCTTCCTTAAAGACCATCGTGTTTGCCAGTACCATCTGCCCCCCCACCCCACTCCCTTTAGGTGGCTCTCACCTGGGGTTCTGCTTCTCTCACTACTGAAAGAATAGGGATTGTCTGGCACTTAACAAAAAGAGATAGGCAGTCAGATAGTGAAGAATAGTCAGAGATAATACAATGCTAGAAAACTTAAAATAATTTGTATGTTGCAAGGGCGAGTTCATGTTAGAGATTTTGAAACATATACGTAACGCCAAAATATATTAATTAGAATATCGAAAAAGGAGGAATTATCGCAAGAAGAGGGAGAAAACGTTTCTTTGGGGCAAATGGAAAAGCAGGGAGAGCAATATGGTAGGCTAGATCTCTACTTAGCTTAGAATTAGTCCTCTCGTTCTCTTCCAATGTGTGGGGTGCACTTCCCCACACCTTGACTTTGAGTTTAGCAGGTTTGCTTTGGGCAATGCAATGTTAGTGGGGCGGGCATGACCAAAGCTTGAAGAGCCTTTTATGCAATGGGCTTGCGCTGTGGTGCCTCTGCCACCATGAGGTTAAGCGATCTCCATTCGCCCCCTTTTCTAAATAGTATGGGTACAGATGGAGCAGGACCACCCTGCTGGGCTCTGCCTGGATCAGCTGACTCCTGGGGAACCCACAGAGGCATGAGTGAAATCAACATGAAATCAATGTACCTTGCTGTAGGCCTTTGATGTTCTGTAGTTGTTTGTTACCCGGCATTTTTGTGGCAAAAGCTAACTGATACAATTAACAGGTTCTATTTACTAAAATCTCTTGTAAGTTGGATGAAAAAGATAGTAAACGTTCCCTTTTAATATAATCTCTATTTCCATCTAGGAACAGTCTGAGTCCACATCAAGCCAGCAAACTGGTAGCCTGATAATGTATTTCATTTGAATTGCATGTTGCTGGCACACAAATGTTGTAATGTACACACACACACGCACACGCGTGCACACACACACACACACACACACACACACACAATTGTCAATATTTAAGGAAATGCAGAGAGTTCCCATAAAACCAAATTTCCAGATTCTCTTGAAACATGAGATTGGCAACTCTGGCAGGACCTCCATTTGGGAGCGGGGTGATGATTACACTGGCTCTCTTGAGAGAGGGTCCGGCATTCTGCAGCTTGTCACCCTTCCTCACACCTTCCAGCACTGAAAGCATCAAATGCCACTCACACAACAGCTGGGCTCTTGCCTCCTTTTTATACTATTTAAGAGAAAAGTAAATCTTAACTAATTTTTCAAATATTATTTTACACACCTATGTAAGATATGTTAATTTTTGACATGACCTTTTCTGTAGTTTCACTCCTTAGGACTAAAATTTTCAGTTGTTGAACCCTCACGTTCATGTATTTAAAGATTAGGTTGCAAAGACTGATGAGAGTCTTGGTCACTTTTGCCAGATTCTTCATGGATTCTAAATTAATTTCTCCCTCTCAGTGCCAATTTAAAAAGCATGACAGCTGAAGCAGTTATTTTTGATGTCATACAGCAGCCTGAACTTTTAAGTACAGAGGTAAGGAAAGGTTCTGGTCAGTTTTGGGGAATAATTTTTTCCTATTATCTTTAAACATGGGAAGAACAGTCCATGGGAGGCCCTAGGGTGACCAGAGCATTCTGCCACCTGGCAAGTGCTACATTCCCGCCTTGTTACCTGGGAAACACGTGGTCAGGTGCTCCATCAGTGCTTCTTGGGTGACAGGTTTTCTTGCTGAGTTCATTGCTGAGATGGCCAAGCAGAGGATCTCCCCAAGTGGAATGAACTGAGACTGGCTGATGGGAGACATACTGATTGGTGATACATCACCTGCAGAAAGACAATTTTCAAGTGAGCGGTTCATTAAAAGACCCGGTCATCTGTCAGATACACACCTTCACACGTCCACAACCCTCCCACCTTCACACGTCCACCCAGCCCTGGTCTGATGAACACAGTTAGCTCTGAACACAGAAGCTGCTTACCATTTCCACTCAGGTGGAAAGACTTCCATATGCAGTGGAAGCTCCTACCGCCTCAACAAATAAAACTAACATCTGAGATCTCACTGAAATAGTCCTAGAACTGAAAGTCTTGCAACAACAGCTTTTTATTTCTGGTTTTATTAACTTGGAGCTGATTTATTTAATAACTGCCATTCGTATCTCGACAAATTGCATTTGTGTAACTTGATTCATTCATTCCAACACTGAACGCCTTTGGCGTCTGCTGGGGGAATGGGAGCTGCAGGCAGAGTGAGTGCGTGCCTCTCCCCAGATATCTCTGCCCTCAGTTTCTATTTAAGTGGAGAAGGCAGAAAAGTAGATCAAAGTCCCAGTGTTTTGTGGCAGGCACACAAGAGAACAGAACAACACCTGGGAGCTGAGAGGAGATGGAGGATACCGCCACCTGGAGGTGAGGGTGGGACCCAGAAGCAGGAAGTTCCAAGGTTTCACCAAGGAGGTATAATCTGAACCCAGTGCTCAAGAGCAGGTGTGTCCCTGGGGGGGCTGGGACCTATAGACAGATGTTTTCTGGGGCATAGTAGAGAAGGGAGATAGGGAGGTAGGGACGACCATGAACAGAGCTGGGTGTGCAAGCTCTGCATTCTATTAGGGATGGTGAGCCATGAAAGGTCAAAGGCAGGTGCGAATTTCAGAAAGATGGCTGTGGTGGCGGTGGGGATGATGGCCTGGGAGGAGCAGGAGAAGGCAAATTACAATTCTCTCTGAGACTGTGGCCTCCTGCACGCTAAAATGGCCAGTGGAGGCAGGAGAGACTGAAGACCCAGCATCACAGGTGAGACGGACAGTGACTACTGAGGTGTCAGCCTACAACGCAAACATCTGTCTTCATTTCTCGTCTTTACACCGCGGTGCAGTGATTCTGAAGTCACGCTGCAAGGATCCCTGGAATATTTCTGGGACAGAGGTGCCCCAGTAGAAGCAGAGTCTGGGAGAGCAGGAAAGTCAGCTCCTGACACCTGAGTGCCACCTGTTTTATACTTGGGGTCCTCCAAGATTTCACTTGAAAAGATGTCCTACAGAAAGAGGAGCAAACTATCACCGCAGTAGAACACAGAAGGGCTCACAGAAAGGTCTGTTACGTTTCGAATCTGATTTCCCCAATGTATTACATAATCTCTCCTTTTTCTGTTTCTGAAGCATGCTTGCAATAAGCTCCCATGGCTGATGGAAACCAAGACTCTGGCATTAAGTAACACCCTACCCAAGAAGGTGTTGGCTGCTCTGGGGTGGACCAGCCTCCTCACGACCAAGCACCTACAGCCGTGCCAGCCACAGTTCCTAGTTTGCAGAGGAATGCAGAGTCCCCATGGGAAAAACTTGCTGCTTTGTTGGACTAGATGGGAAATGGCTTGGCAGCTGAAATCAGGCAGTGGGGCCTGGGAAGAAGGTCAGCATATGTGGGGTAGCTGGAAAGAAGGTCAGCATATGTGGGGTAGCTGGGAAGAAGGTCAGCATATGTGTGGTAGTCCAGCAGGTGCTCCGACAAAGCGGCAGGACTCCAGCACCCAAGGCCCAGGCCTCACCCCTTCCCATACCCAGCTCAGTTCAATGTGCCCCTTTCCCTGAACCACATGGGGCTCCACTCAGCGCTACTGTGACTCCACTCTTTGCAAGACGGATATGAGAAGGGTAAGACATTATCCCAGTGGCCAGAGGAAGACAGGAGTACCTACATCCAGAAAAGAAAGAAGGGAAACATCAGCAGAAGCCAGGAACTGACCTAACTTAGAAGCCACAAATTTCCGGGGCCTATGGATCATAGGCATCATAAAGAGATGCCCTTGGAAAAATTCTTATAAAAGCTGTTTGTTTGTTTGAGACAGGGTCTGGCTCTACGGCTCAGGCGGGAGTGCAGTGGCACAATCATAGCTCACTGCAACCTTAAACTCAAGAGATCCTCCCGCCTCAGCCTTCCAAGTAGCTAGGACCACAGTCTGGCCACCTCCTAAAGCACTTGGATGACAGGCCACCACGCCCAGCCCAAACAAAGTCTTATTCTAAAACCTGATGTGGGTCGGGCCAGGTGGCTCACATCTACAATCCCAGCACTTTTGGTGGCCAAGGCGGGCAGACTGTTTGAGCCCAGGAGTTTGAGACTAGCCTGGGCAACATGACAAGACACCATCTCTACAAAAAATACAAAACTTAGCCGGGCACGGTGGCATGCGCCTGTGGTCCCAGCTACTTGGGAGGCTGATGTGGGAAGATCACTTGAGCCCGGGAGGTCGAGGCTATAGTGAGCTGAGATTGTGCCACTGCACTTCAGCCTGGGGCAGGAGCCACAGAGCGAGACCCTGTCTGTCAATCAGTAAATACATAAGAAGCATGTAAAGATTGGCTGAGTGCTGGCGGCGAGCTGCAGCAGAGGTGGGAGTTGGGAACTCCACCCATCTGACTCTGCCTCCCTCACAGCAGACCCTACAGCTCAGCCGTAGATAGTCTGAGACACTGCCCTGTGATTCCTTCTCTCACTCCACCTCCACTGTATAGGACAGGGCCACTGAGGCCAGCTTTCTCACAGAGTTGTAAGGTCAGCCATGTGGACCTGAAAGTCGCCTGAGATGATTTTAAAAGTCAGATGAAAAGGAAGATGAAATCAGCTGGGAAAGAGAGAGAGGGTCAATGCAGATTCCAGTACCTCTGGGCTTGCATATCACTCGGGAGGCTAACGCATTCAAACATGTGCCTGTTATAACTAAGAACATCTCAGAAGATGAAAGATACAAAAATACTAAATGTGATCCCCAAAATGCAGGTGGCACTGTTTCTGGACTTTCTAGAGGTGATGAGGAAACTCGATCACTGCTTCAGTTTAGGTCATGCTTGTCCTTGTGGATGTAGGTGAAACAATTTGTTTAGTTTCACTGCCATGTTCTCAGTTAATTTCTTTTCATTCATTGTGGCCGACTCCAAGAGGCAGCGTGCTTTAAGTGTCTGAATGGCATTTGCTTTGGAAAAGCTTGGTTTTACCATAATAATGAATATGGGCAATAAGTTTTAACTCACAATATAGAACAAAATGGAATTTGGATGTTCTAAATATCTCCACCTCATCTCATTTTTGTACTGCACTAAGATAAATTACTTTCAACTCCTTTCCCACCCCCAAGCCCATCAGCAATCCTGTCTACACCCAGATATTTCCTGGTTTGTTCCCTCAATTCCACCCCTAGAACTCTCCTAAACTGCCATCATCTCTCACCTGGTCCATCAGAATAACTTGATGATGTTCAGCCTTCCCTCCTGTCTCCACCACTCCCCTCTCCACAGAGCAGCCAAGGTGCTCTTAGGAAAACAGAAAACACACCACTTCCCTGCATAAAATCCTCCAGCGACTGCCTGCTGCCCCTAGAAGAAAGCCTGAGCTCCTCGGTAGGTCTACAGGAGCCCACGTGGTCTGAGCCTGTTCACCCAACGCTAGGACCACTCCCTACCCCCAACCTTACTTTCCACTCACAGCCTCCTCTGCTCTCTGAACATGTCAGGCATTTCCTCAACTCAGGGTCTTTGTATTTTTTGTTCCCTTGGCCTGGGATGTTCCTTGGGTCGACTTTTCAAGACTGGCTTTTCATCCTTTAGGTCTCAGTTCAAATGGCACCTCATCAGAAAGCCCTCACCTGACCATCTGGTCTGCTGCCATTCCAACAGAGCCGAGTTTACTTGGCTGTCTTCTCTCCCTGCCCTGGACTTGGTTCACTGGTTTACTGTCTGTCTCACACACTCGAATGTAAGCTCCACGACAGAAGGCAAGGTGAATGCCACATTCCCAGCACCTAGGATGACACGGTGCTGATCCAACAAATGTTTGTAGAATGAATGAATATCCATTTTTAACATCATAATCCAAGGAACTTCTTAATAATCTTGAAGGACTGTAATTCTATTAATATTTTGCTAAATAATTGCAAACAAACAGACCAAATAAGTTTAGCTGTGCAATTTCTAAACCTCCTCAAATCAACTGCATGAGTGACATTCCTCCAAAAACAGCTGTTACTATCGAAAAATAACTTTATGATACAAATATTATATAGCAATAAAAAATTAATGAACATGAGTAAGTTTCCTGAAAGAATAATTATATATTAAGTGAAGTTTAGAACATGCATTTAAGATCTGTATTAAAGGAATCACAGGTATCTCTCAACACAACATAAACATTATTCAGGTTTACCATAATCTTCTGTGGATCCTATATAAACCTGCTTAATAAGCCAACTACTCATCGTTCAGATATGGTACTAGAAAATTCTTCTGGCTGGGCATAGTGGCTCACGCCTGTAATCCCAGCACTTTGGGAGGCCGAGGCAGGTGGATCACCTGAGGTCGGGAGTTCGAGACCAGCCTGACCAACATGGAGAAATCCCGTCTCTACTAAAAAATACAAAATTAGCCAGGCGTGGTGGCGCATGCCTGTAATCCTAGCTACTCGAGAGGCTGAGGCAGGAGAATCGCTTGAACCTGCGAGGTGGAGGTTGCAGTGAGCTGAGATCACGCCACTGCACTCCAGCCTGGCAACAAGAGTGAAACTTTGTCTCAAAAAAAAAAAAAAAAGAAGAAAGAAAATAAAATTCTTCCAACTACTGGACCACATTTATTTCTTCGAAGGAGAAAAAAGAGAATGTAAGTACTGCTAAAATATTATTGGTCACAATAATCTACATAATCTACAGAAACTACCATATTTTGCATGAATTATAACTTACTTGTCTGTAATTTATAGGATGGATGTTTCTATCATCGGAATTAGTTCAGAACACGTTCATAACGACAATGCATCTTAAAGCTCATTGGCACTTTGTC